AAGACTGATTCAGCAACGCAGGCCAAACACCCGCCACCAATGATGACAGAAAACTGCTTCAGCCAAATCTAAGAAGCTGCCTCAGCACTGTGGTCGGATCAAACGAAAGGGCTGGAAACATCTGAGGTCGACATTGGCTGGTGTTAGAAAGTCTTTGACAACTGAGCAAGGACCTCAAATAAAGCACACAAGTTGTTACAGAAGTGACATCATGCTATAGTAGTACAGAAAGGTGAATAAATTATGATTTGTGGGTATAGTTGAACTGTGCTAACAATGACTCATTCTTCTGCTAAAGCGCTGATTACGAGATTTAGAACAAGTTGAGTTTTCTGAGTGTTAAATTAAGAGGACAGCCATTGGTGTCTAGAGGATCTTGATAGCGTAAAATGTCAAATAGAGCATAAAACAGGAACATAGCTGGGTTTTTAAAACACAACTCAATCATTGTGTCATTTTAAAGGTCAACTTGAAGAACCTGTCAACTTAAAGTTACAAGAAGGCGTTCATAATTTCCAAAAAGAATGCCACATGTTTTTTTTTTAAGTTACGTTTCTGGGACTGTAGCCTCTGCTTAAGGGAGGTGTTTAGACCCCTTAGGCCATCTTTGTCCCTGCATTGCACAGTTTGGAGTGTGGTGAAAGAATTTGTTCACACGCAGGAGTTTCTGAAGTAATTTGGAGCAAATGCAGTGGATTCCTACTACTGACTCATACCTGATTGCTTTTAGGTTTTACTTTTGGGGCTTTATTTAAGAGGATAGGATGGTGCATAGAGTAGTAAACTGGGAGTAGAAGAGGGTGGGAACTTGCAGAAAGGACCTGTGGACCGAAACTGGATTGTCTGTTCAAGGTTCCACACATGGGGCCCAAGCTTAGACTCCCTAGGCCAGCAACATCCCAGCCATGCTTGTATTTAATGAAGTCGGGGGTGTCTGGTGTTGGTTTTCGGCCTCTGAAGACAAGTTGTCCTGTAGATGATGTAAGTCCCAAATTCCCCACAGTTTCACACCGAGGAGCATTTTTCTAAAATTGTTGAACTATTTGCCCACATAGTCTCTCATACAGTGGTGAACCTCTTCCCAGTTTCCCAGTGTTTTATCGTCCTTGTCTCAACTTTTTTGAAAACTGCCAACATCTGATTTCAAATTTGAAAAGAGATTTTCATAAAATGCTGAAATTTTTCAGTTTCAGTTGCTGATATGTTGTCTTGACCCACTGTGGCATGTTTATGGAGATTTCCATCTTTCTGTAGCTGGTTTTGGGCTTATACCAATGCAAAAAACAGTGAGGTCTAACAAAGATAGAATCATTCTTTGATATCAAAACTTAAGAATATCTATCTGTTTTAAATTAAGCCCCACGGGCAACAAAAGCTGAGTCAGTATTTCAAACTTTCACTTTCTAAACAGTTAGCATGTACAGTTGGAGTCTGATCACTTAGCTTATTTTCTTCCTGTACAGTCACATTGAGCTATAATTCCTTCAGTTTTATGTTTGTATTCATTATCCCAGTGTGTACTGCACGTAGTCAAAGACTCAGAGGTGTCAAAACAGACATTCAAGTCCGATACTGACAGGAGCGTAACATGAAACTACCACATCCTTATTGTCAACACTCTGACTCCCGATACTCTTGTTTTTGCTGTGTCATGCAGGTATGTGGTTTTCTTAACGAGAGGGAGACGCACATGGAGGGGAAAAAAAAAACCTGCTTTTCGTGTTATTATGTGTCCTAGACAGAGTATTGCCATGGACGGCATGTGTGAGCGATGAATAGATGCTGTGTTTGTGCATGTAAAGTTCAGGTTTGTTGACAAAGTTACACACCGTTGATGAGACGATGGTTTTAAATTACACTCTTCAGTGTTTTCTGGATTAGGATCACTCTAACTATCTATTGTGTTGAATTATTGCGTCATATAACACTTAAGCGGATATATCTCACACTAATTTTTGAGGGTTTCCTTTTTACTTGTTTTAAAATCTACATTATTGTAATTTCATTCATCACAAACACACACATGGTCACGTACACATACAATAGTCTCACACCTACCTGTAGAAATATGATGCTGTCCTCTCTGCAGCCCTCTCAGGTGCTAGATGTCAGAAATCACACAGAGTAAGAGGAGAAAAAAAAAAAAAAAAAAAAACTAGTGGGAGGAGCAAGTAATTTCCCAGCAGGCAGGTGTGTTGGATTTATCGGGAACGGTCCTAAAAGGCACTGAACCAAACACTGCCACTACCTCAACCATCTCAGGTGTATTTAAAGGAGGAGGAGCTACAGGTGTTGACACTGGTCATTCATCACATTTAGACAGAGACCTGTTTTTTGCTGATGTCACGCCTAGAGTGGGAAACAGATCTGGTGTGATGATGTTGCAGGGCTGGGCTTCAAGTTTGCAAGCCATATTCCCCATTAATGAAGAGTTTAGACACCGAAATATAATTTGATGATTTAAACCCTATATTAAGTTGAAGATTTTGCAAAAACAACACATTTAATGTGACTTTCTAGTGAAGAGTAAATGCTCATTTCAAAGCTCAGTTAAACATCTGGACCCTTCTACTACTGAGCAATGCTGTTGTGATATTTGCAGGATGTGGTTTAGTATTGTGTTGCTGTACCATCACAATGCTAGCTATAAACTGTATGCTGACAACGCGCCATGGTGAGTGAATGTCAAATGTCAAGTCAAGTTTCTGCCTTACTTCAGCCCATGGTAAATGGGTTAAGGCTCGAGAGGTCACAAGTGTTTCTGGATGAAGTTCATTAATGGTTTCTGTTTTTTATAAGTAGTGCCAGCTGATCATACGACACATAATAAAGGAAAAGATGTTGTTGCCATAGCTCTACAAACTCTTTCTTTGTTTCATGGTTTCATCTTGCAGAATCAGCTCCATCATTCCTCTTCTACTTCAGCATTTTGTTTATGTTTGGTCATGACTTTTGCGCATAGACATCAGCCAAGAGGTAAAGAGTTGATGCCATAGCCACAAATCCAATTTCTTTTGGGTGTCTAATGTGTTTAGGTCTGTTGTAAAAATTGGTATTTGAGGCTAAGCTGTAGAGGGTCTTCTTCTGGGGTTTTCTTGGCTGTTCGAGTCAGCGGTAAGTAGACACTTGAAGAATTGCAGTCGTGGCTCCATTTCTCAATTTTGAGGGTTGTTGCTGAAAGTAGTTCAAAAGCATTTCCCGTTCAACATCCTCAAACAAGTTTACAGACTTTTAACAGCTGAATTCATAAACAGAAAATCAGGTGGATTTACTCAGACAATACTAACTTGTTGGTGGGAAAGACCAGGGTCTTAAAGAGTCCTCATCACACGAAATAACTCAGAGGGAAATTACCTTTGCTGCTGCATCTGTGCACAGTGATGTTTGTCAAAGTTTGTCAAAGGACAATTCACAAGTAGGCATATAAAGTGATGTATTATGCAAGTATTGGCTCTGGGGAAATTGGGCCTCTAGCTAAGCTACATTAACAACAAAAAAGTGACGGGAATACAAAAAACCGTTGCTAAAATCACTTTTTCTACAATCAGCTTTAAGGTTGTCTTGTTCTCATCATTCATCTTTATGTCTCTTGAGATAGAATTTTTTGATTTTTTACCATGTCTTGATTAAGCAGCATTTTGAATTTAGTCGCAAAAAAATTCCTTGTCGATGATTTGCAGCCTCTCAGTTTGTAACCTCATTACCCCAGCAGTGATTGGGGGAGGTTAGGATGATAGGCTGCTATGATTAAGAGGCACTATGTTGATTGGTTGCCTCAGTGTTGTTTAAAGAGGGAGGTTGCAGACCAAAACACGGTCGCAGAGGCGGAAAATCACAAAATACAAGTATGTCCAGAAAACGCTGTTGTTAAAACAGTCTGTGCTGGACGGTGTCACACCAATAACAGAACAGTTGGTGTGTCTGACTCTAACCTTGGACATGTTGACTCTGCAACACTGTGGCATAACCAAAAAAGAGAAGAAGGAAGTTGAATAGCTTGAGGAACAGGCGTAATAGTGCATTTGCATTTCCCGATTACGAGGGTGTACGTAATCATCCTTTCATAACTCTACATTCTTGACAGTTGACTCCAATGGCACAAAGCCACTGTTAATAATATAGTGTGTCTTTCATAAATGTTTTGGTGTCAGTAATCTCAGTCATAAAACGTACATGGGAACTACCCTGAGGGCTTTCTCACTATAACAACGACAGACACAACTGGGAAGTTTTTGCTAGACTCCTACTGAAATCCCTGATTGAGCAAGACTAGAACTGTTGTTCAGACACAAGGCTGTTTGCCTTTGAAACTCACAGTGATTGGTAGAAAGAGGAAGCTTGGTGAATACAGCTTTTAGAATATAAACAGATTAAAATTTGTTTATTATAAGGCTGAATGTCTTTTAAGACGGGAATGGTGAGTTATAAAAATTCCAGTGAGCCAAGCCTGTGCGAAATTAGATATAATAACACGATGAATAGTTGTACCAGAGCTTTAATCGGCAATCTTGGTTTGTGTGTGTAAGAAGTGGGAATTTATGGGATTAGTTGAAGCCTTACTGGATGTTTGTGATGCGGTATTGGCATCATCAGGTTTGTCATGGTGGTTTGGAGATCTACAAACTTGGCAGACATCCTAAAATAGCATGACTTAACAAGATCTTAGGAAGGTGAGCTGTACTGTCACAGATGAGTATGCGCATTAGTGCAGGTGAGGAGAAGGAAAACAAGGTGAATCATGCCACAGAAGGATAAAAAAACACATTAGATGAGCTCTATAAATGTTTTGAATGGTGCCACCAACATTCAGCCAAACTGCTGCATCCGATTGGCTTCTTTCTCTCCAAACAGGGTCATTTGGGGGCGCCACATGGATACCATTGGCCTTCTGACCTATAGCTTTAATAAAGCACCTGCCAACTAACCTGCAACATTATGGACAGTCCTATTGTGGTAGACCCTTTTGGGATGGGAATGACTTCTTCTGGCCTAATATATATTGTCATAACCCGGCTCTCAAGCCATGACATATATGGAAACGGACGCAGTGTAGGGCGAGAAGTAAAGATTTATTTTAACAAATTAGATACTTAAACAATTATTTGTAAATATGGGGTGTGTTAGTCAGTGATATCAGTCATGTAAGTGTGGATGTGTGAGTAATGAAGTGTAGGGTGTTGTGGGGTGAAAATAAACCAAAGTCAAATCAAAGCAAAAAGCCTGAGACAGCAGTCCTGTGGCAGGGTCAGAGCAAGAGAGCGAGCCGCACTGGAGAAGGGCCTTTTATGCTCTGCAGCAGCATTAGGCACAGGTGCTTCAATTATCTGCCACACCCACTCTCTCCCAGGTAGCCCTGCAGGGAAAACATGAAATGGCTCCACCAGGATTAGTCCACCAGACCCCAGTTAGGCAGGGCCGTCACACCCCCCCCCCTCAAGTCGGCGTCCCAAGGAGGTCACCGACATAACGCCGACCCACCTACAAAACACAAGTCAGAATTACTTAAAAAAAAACAAGCAAACAAACAAAAAATAATAATACACCCTCCTCCTGGATACTCCAACCGCAGCTTGGTCCACCCAACCTTGGCAACTCGGCGCCTGAGAAGCAGATTAAGAAGATTGGCAGAGCAGCAGCAGTTGAATAAAACAGGAAAAGGCAGTATATTAATCTCAGTTCGCCATCTACCACTGAGGAGCACGTGACAAAGCGTCTGCAATAATATTGTGTGCACCCTTAATATGTCTGATGTCGAGGTCGAAGGCCTGCAAAAACAGTGCCCACCTCATCAGCCTCTGGTTCGGACACCTTAGGGAATGCAAAAAGGTCAGGGGATTGTGATCCGTGTAGACCACCGTCGGTCCTCCTCCCCCAACATACACACTAAAATGCTGTAGGGCCCATATAAGTGACAGAGCCTCCTTCTCAATAACAGAATAATTACGCTGGTAATTATTAAACTTCTTTGAAAAGAAGCTGACTGGCCTCACCACCCCTTGATCGTCACTCTGGAGCAAGACCGCACCTGCTCCCACATGGCTGGCATCTACTTGCAGTGTGAAGGCTCGATCGAAACAAGGAGCTGCCAGAACAGGAGCAGAGCACAGGACCGACTTCACACTATCAAAAGCTAACTGACATTCTGAAGACCACACAAATTTCACCTTTGCTTTAAGAAGTTCTGTGAGAGGAAAAACAACGGTAGAGAAGTTCTTACAGAAACTTCTATAGTAGCCCACTAGCCCCAAGAACCTCTGAAGTTCCTTCTTTGTAGTAGGTCGTGGATATCTGGCTATGGCCATAACCTTGGCCTGGACTGGAGCTACATGACCCTGCCCCACGACCCGGCCGAGATAAGTCACTGTAGCCATCGCAAAATCACATTTAGCCAAGTTCACAGTGAGCTGGGCTTCAGCCAAGCGTTCGAACAGCGCCCGAATGCGCTGAAGATGCGAGTGCCAGGTATCACTAAAGATGACCAGGTCATCCAGATAAACTGCACAACCTTGCAAACCTGCCACAACGCGATTCATCAAACGCTGAAACGTAGCAGGGGCGTTCTTTAACCCAAAAGGCATCACCTTGTAGGAATAAAGGCCAGATGGAGTGATGAATGCAGCAATCTCCTGCGCACGCTTAGACAACGGCACTTGCCAATATCCTTTAAGCAAATCAAACTTGCTTACAAACTTCGCGGACCCCACCTGATCAATACAGTCATCCATACGTGGTAATGGAAACGAGTCAGATTTTGTGACAGCATTCACTTTCCGTAAATCAGTACAAAACCGAGGTGTTCCATCCTGTTTTGGCACCAGGATGCACGGAGAAGCCCAACTGGATGATGATGGAACAGCAATATTATTTTGGAGCATGTATGTGACCTCTGCCTCCAAATAATCACGCTTACTTGGGGCCATACGGTAAAAATGTTGTTTAATTGGTCGAGCATCTCCGACATCAATATCGTGTTCGATCCAGTTAGTTTGCGAAGGGATGTCACCAAACAAGCAAGAGTATTTACGCACCAACTTCGACAGCTCATCACGCTTGGACTCTGACAGATGAGCCAGCAACTTGTCCAAGTTACCAAGTGATTGTGAATTGTTTAGCCTCCCATACAACAAGCTTTCGTCAGGTTCTGGTACCCCATCTCCATCATGCGCCAAACCCTCTGAAGCAACCGCAAGAGCTGGATGTACATCCTCCTTCTGGTGGCAACCCAAGTCAGCGTCAACCTCCCGGTCATAATATGGTTTTAAAAGATTTACATGGCAGAGACGCTTGGTCTTCCTGCGTCCTGGCGTTGCAACAACATAGTTCAAATCCGAGACTTTCTCTATGACAGTATATGGACCTGCAAATTTAGCCTGAAAGGGTGACCCAACTATAGGCATAAGTGCTAGGACCTGGTCTCCTGGATTGAACTCATGGTGCTCTGAATGACGGTCATACAATTCTTTCATTCTCTTCTGGGAGAGACCCAGCTTTTCTCTCGCCATGCAACCAGCCATGAACAAACGATGTCTAAACCCATTGACATATTCCACCAGGTTAGTAGGTGGATCCATACTCACACAGTCCCCCTTCAGCACGGCCAGAGGACCCCGCACAGTATGTCCAAAGACCAATTCATTTGGGCTGAAGCCTGTGCTCTCCTGTACTGCCTCCCTAGCAGCCAACAGAAGCCATGGCAACCCGTCCTCCCAGTCTCTATCCAACTCTGTACAATATGACCGCAGCAGAGACTTAAGAGTCTGATGGAACCGCTCTAAAGCACCCTGGCTCTGTGCATGATAAGCCGATGATTGGTTCTGCGCAATACGAAGAATCTTCAACACTTGCCGAAACATTTTAGAAGAAAAATTTGACCCTTGGTCACTTTGGACCACCTGAGGAATGCCAAATATCGAAATGAACTGAGTCAGTGCCTTAACTGCTGCCTTCGTTGTAATTGATCTCAGAGGAAATGCTGCCGGATATCGAGTGTTCTGACACATCACGGTAAGCAGATATTTACAGCCAGACTTGGAAGGTGGCAACGGACCCACACAATCCACAATGAGGTGTGTAAATGGTTCATTCACGACCGAAATAGGCTGTAATGGTGCAGGCTTGATCTTCTGATTGGGTTTACCGGTGAGCTGACACACATGACAGGTCTTAATGTATGTGGACACATCGCGCTTGACACACGGCCAAAAGAAGTGTTTCAGGAAGTTGAGGTATGTCTTGCGCACACCAAAGTGTCCGCACTCATCATGTGCCACCTTCAAGACCAGAGGGCGGAATTTAACTGGCACCACCATCTGGAAAACACCAACATCCACACCATTTTCACTCACTGGAACCCACTTCCTAAACAGCAAGCCATTATGCAAGAAGTAACCATTTGCAGCACTTACTATCTCTGAGGCTGGCAAAACACGCTCAAACAGTTCCTTCAGAGTGGAATCCTTACTTTGCTCCTCTGCCACCTCGCTATGTGATAGCGACACAGGGAGCTCTGACAGTGATGGAACCTCCAACCCTAAATCACTATCAGCGCTAGATGATGCGTCAGGGTCGGACTTGCTCATAGCACGCGTAACTACACATGATGGAGCAACCTCTGGAGTGCAACCAGAGCCCTCAGACACACAATCAGATGGACAAGAGGTAACCACAGGTGAGGGAGGAGTGTCAGCCCAAACTTTTCCACCAGCCAAACCGTTGCCCAAGATAAAATGCACACCTTCAATAGGCAACGCTGGCCGAACCCCGACAGCCACCTCACCATTAACCAGCTCACAGTTCAAAACCATCCTATGCAAAGGAACAGGAAGAATTTTCAGCCCCATCCCACGACTAAGGACACAACCACCGGTATCTGTCTCTCCGGACAAAGGTAAAACAGAGTCGACAATGTAGGAATCGTACGCCCCCGTATCTCTTAAGATTTTTATTGGGACCTTATCACCTCCTACAGTTGACACAAACCCATCCCGAATAAAAGGAGCATAAGCTGCCAAGACACCAGACTCACAAGCATGAGAGGGCCCCACCTCCGAAACACTGCAGCTTTGAACCGGGGCAGCGAATGCAGCAGGCTTAGCTCTCATTCCCCTGGTTTTAGCTTTAAGCACAGGGCAATCTGCTTTCCAGTGCCCTTTCTCATGACAATAATTACAGAGGTTACCACTGTCAGCGTTGCCATATGTTTTAAAATCAGATTTCAACAGGACTTTCTTTGAGCGTTGCATTTCAGCCGAAACATTGTCTGAATAATTTCCTCGTCCACCAAAAACATCACGACCCGCAGAGCGCTCTCTAAAATTGTTCCTGTGAAGCAACGCATACTCATCTGCTGAGACTGCCGCAGCAGCTGCAGTAGTGACTTTCTGCTCGGTGATATATTTTGCAATACGTTCTGGAAGACAATTCTTAAGCTGCTCTAGAATCATCAAATCACACAAATTGTCAAATGTAGAGACATCAAGCGCAGATAACCACCGTTTAAAGTGAGTTGACAGATCCCTGACAAACTCCACGTATGTTTGGCCATTTTTCTTCTCCCAGGACCTAAAACGCTGGCGATATGCCTCGGGCACGAGCTCATATGCCTTCAGCACCGCAGATTTTATTTTAGAATAGCTAGAGCTATCCTCAAGACTCAAAGATGAATAAGCCTCTTGAGCTTTTCCTGAGAGGACACACTGCAGCATAAGGGCACGGTCTACATCAGGCCAGTTTCTAGCCGTAGCCACACGTTCAAACATCAAAAAAAAAGTGTCTGGATCTCTCTCGTTAAACTGAGGTAGCAAGCGCAAGTTATTCACATCAAAACGATGAGCAGAAGAGCTAGCCCCCTGTCTGTCCTGATCCTCACCAGACAACCTGCCATCTCTGACCAAAGTCAAGCGCTGCCTCTCCAGATCTACTTTTGCCCTCTCAGACTCCTGATGGATTCTCGCTAATTCAAGTTGTTTTTTCATTTCCAATTCCTGTGTCATTTTCTCATGTTCCTGTTTAATTTTTTCATGTTCCATTTGTAAAATCAAAATCTCCTTTTGCTGCTCGAAAGTTAACCCCGGTGCCAGAAACTGTAAAGCAGTAGGACTCAGAGACTCCTCCTTGTCTCCAGGCATCAGTCCCTCCTCAACCAATTTTGATTTTATAGCTGCTTTAATATTTTCTTTAAAGCGTTTGTCCCCGACAATCACAACTGAAAAATGCTCAGCAATTATGAGCAACTGCTCCTTTGTAAACGAATGTAATAACTCCTGAGATGGAGCAGTGATGAAGTCATCAATTTCCGCCATTTTAAGTTTACGAAGCTGAATAGCTGAGCAAATACAATTTTACACACAACCAGACCCAATAGATACAGTGTTTACCCGTGTGCACTAAATTTTAATCTCAACCTGGTTTGGAGTTTCCCCGCTATCTAACCACCGATCCATCTAACTAAGCTCCCCCCTAGTCTTCATGTGGCCTCTTATGGTGGGTACTTATGCACTAAAGACTGCTGGATCAGGAGAGCGACTAGCAGGCTAGCAACTCTCTCAAAACCACGGACATGCTCCCAAGCCAAGCTTCAGCCACGTTCGCCACAACACTATCCCACACCCAGCTCAACGAACTCAAAAGAGAACGTCGCTACAACCTACAAGGGAAAACTCCTCACCAGTTCACACGCACACACAGACACACACAGCTATGCACAGGGCAACACAGTATCACTAGGCCCTGCTGCTATCAGCATGAACAATGAGCAAACAAACTAGTCTCAGCAAAATCAGAAAAAACAGCAACAAACGTTTCACACAACTAACACCTTATCCTTCCCTCAAATCCACAGACATGCAAGCAGACAATAAGTCACCTACTCCGATAAACAAAAGGACCAAAAGCCCTTAGTACACGCACGCTCTGACCCACATGGAACAAAAACTCAGAGCCAAACTTAATGAATAAGTCCACAGCACAAAAACCCCTACAATCCGCGCCACACAGGTCGCAATGAATATGTAGTGTATTATCTTAAGTAACCCCAAGCTGCAAACAAGCCAAAGTGACACACAACTAGGCACCAAATACCCCAAAATACCAAAACTGCAAACACACAAGTCTTACCCAACAAATGCGAACAAAACGGGAAAAACACGGCTGGACGAGCCCCCAATATGTCATCACCCGGCTCTCAAGCCATGACATATATGGAAACGGACGCAGTGTAGGGCGAGAAGTAAAGATTTATTTTAACAAATTAGATACTTAAACAATTATTTGTAAATATGGGGTGTGTTAGTCAGTGATATCAGTCATGTAAGTGTGGATGTGTGAGTAATGAAGTGTAGGGTGTTGTGGGGTGAAAATAAACCAAAGTCAAATCAAAGCAAAAAGCCTGAGACAGCAGTCCTGTGGCAGGGTCAGAGCAAGAGAGCGAGCCGCACTGGAGAAGGGCCTTTTATGCTCTGCAGCAGCATTAGGCACAGGTGCTTCAATTATCTGCCACACCCACTCTCTCCCAGGTAGCCCTGCAGGGAAAACATGAAATGGCTCCACCAGGATTAGTCCACCAGACCCCAGTTAGGCAGGGCCGTCACATATTTCATTTCTGTTGATTCTATCCATGTCTTCTAACGTTTGTTAAGTATAACAACACCAGAGTTGAATTGACTAACTATGTTTTGTTTAACTGGCAGGATAACGGGGGCAAATAACAGCTGATATCATATCACGTAGCTAAAGAACTGATAACACAGAACAGGTCTCAAACTTCTGTCATTTGAGAAGCTCAAAGTCTGTGATACATGATTTTAAAGGAGTGGCAAACACAAAGACATGTTCCTCAGGCACACTCTTGACAAATATGAAACCACTTAAACAAGCAAACACATTTTTTTAATCAAATAGTCAGACTGTATTATACCCTGTGGTGTTATCATTAGGCTGGATTACAACAAGCAATTATGGTTCGTAATTGCCGGGTAATAAAATGCCAATAAAATGCTGTAAAAGGTCACACACAGGTGAGAGGCTTGTTATTAGTTGTTCATGGAGGTCTGGTTTTGGGTAGAGCTTTGAAAATGTCTCTAAAAAAGACTCTAAATGTTATCACAAATGCCTTGTTCACACAGAGACAAAAACAACATGTTGACATTTCATTTTGAGAAAGTAAAGACTGAATCATTTCAGGAAATTGCCACATAAACACAAAACCACTGAGAACAATGTAATGCAAATGCCAAGCCAGTATGCAGAAAGCCATCCACACTAAGACGAAACGAGGGTCGTGTACGTATTTATGTACTCTGGGACCCGTTTTCAAAAAATATAATTTACAGTCACATGTGGATGAAGTGCCAATACAACAAAAACCTATACTCCTGAATTTGTTTCCAGGTTGACGGGGCCTTAGACTAGTGATGGGAAGAACAGTTCTTTTGACTGTACTGAATCTTTAGAATCTGTTCATTAAAACGATTCGTTCAAAAGATTCGTTCACTAAATCAGTCAGTGCTTCAGAGCTCCGTCCTGCCGGTGCAGTATACAAGAGAGTGACACAGCCGCGAGTTCATTCATTGAATGAGCCCCTCCCCTCCTCTGCTGCTGAAGTCACAACATCATCCACTCGGTGACACATGTTGTTCATTCGCCACGTACTGAAGGAAGAATCACTCCTCTGTCCTGAAAAACTCACCTCTCTGTGTGTGTCGCCGTCGGCAGAAACAACATAGCAGCAAGCAGCACGTCTGCTGAACGAGCGTGAGTCGTAGTTCTTTTATATCGCGGAAAAGTGGAGAGATTAAAAATAAATAAAGATTGCAGCTGTAGCGGGGATTCTGCTACTTTTAAAGATATCAAATAGCCTATCACTTAACGAACCGGTGCTTGGCAGTTCGTGAACAACACTTCACCCCTCCCCCCCTGCCTGCCTCAAGTCATTTGGAAGTCGTTCATTTCGTTCACAGTCTGACTGATACATATTGTTCATTCGCTGTAAGCAAATCACAAGACTCCGCCCGCCTGCTCGCTCGCTGTGTGTCATTCGCCAAAGAGTCGTCCCAAAAGGCGGCAGTTCCACTCCCGACTGACACGCCAGCACAACTGAACTGAGAAAGGAACGAATCAGGTCTCAGAGTGATTCCATTCACGTCACGTTCATCAATGACATCTAGTCAAATGTAGCCACTTGGCGCCAATAAGGCTGAACTTAAAGCTCCTGTGAGAGAAATCTTCTTTTTGGCACAACAAATTCTCTGCTTATCTTAGCCTTCCGACCAAAAAACGCCAATCCTGATGACTTATTAAAGTCCAAAGTATCCTTAAAAAAGTAATCAACATGAATTTTATGTTGTTTTATAACAGTCAAAAAACTCCTCACAGGAGCTTTAATGTGTCAGAGTGCTAGTCAACAAACCAATGAGTGACTCTTAGCGGCTAAATTCTCCCAATCTGAGAACTTTAAGGGTGTGGTAGCTGTGATAAAGACCTGGAAAACTGCAAACAAGTCCAATGTGTGTATCTCGGTGATAATGTGATCGGCTGATTAAAAGGTTATGTCTCATGGTGTTCTCTACAAAGGTAGCTAAGTTCAGATGCTGACACGCCAAAATTTTGTACATGTAATCATCCTTTATATGGGTCACTCAGCCAGGCTGGGCCAACACCCAAAGGACTATGTATCATGCTAATGTGCTGCTGTCTGGCAGTCAAAGGGGAAAACCTGTCATTAAAGGGGGGCTCTCGAAGATCTTAGTAGTTACTGGGGTTCAACATGAGTGTGGTCCAGTCACATTTCAGGGAATAAGAGGAGAGGCACAAACTGCAAAGGTGCAGAAATAAGCTGCTCTCGATGCTCTAGTCTCTCTTTACATTTACATCAGCTTGCTCAGTCATTTAACGGCCTGTCATTTCAGTCTGTTGCGGCACGATGATGATCCCCCTACGGCTTTATAATCTGAACACATGCAGGCAGTCAGTCTGTACTTGTTTAAACGCACGTTAGCAACATTTCTCAGCCTCTAGATCTAAAACAGAAGGACCATAAATACATGAATCTCCATAAAACTTGATTTACTTCAAGGGTTTTCTGTGACCGCTAATATGATTGTTTAAGTGTGGGAAAAGTTCCTTGGCTTAGTGGTTATATTGGCAGCACAAAAAGTCCTGAAAGGTATAAAATCAGCTCGATAGATGAGGTGGAAATCTACCCGATGCCGCCAAAACCCTCTTCAGGCTGCAGTTTGATGCTTGTTCACGCATGCTGCACTCTCTGTACGTGATTGTAAAAACCCAATTAGGCGGGTGTCCGTTTCAGCTCAGTGGTTTTCTGGGAAAGCCAGAGAGAGAGAGAGAGAGAGAGGGAGAGATGCTGACTGATAGAGGCCAAGGCAGTCTGTCAGAAGAGTGCAGGGCCCCATCAAAACAAGACCAACAGGCTCTAATAACTGGCTTTCCACCGCTCTGTGCCTCTGTCCTTCTCCCTGCAGCTCTTTTTTGGTTATTTAGCCTGTTTACTACTCCAGTACTAATCCTTCTGTGTCTCTATTTCATTTTGAATAAGTCAAAAGTCGTCCACGTGCGAGCCCAGGTTATGCCTGAGGCTGTCAGCCCCAGCCAAGGCCCCTTTGCCCCACATCACTTTGGCTCTTTCTCCGTATTTCCTGCTCCGTCCACTGACCTGTCGTCTCCAGATAAAGCCTCAAAACACCCAAAATTAATCTTAAAATGAGAAAGACAGCAACAGCTTCCACTTCACACTGTAAATATGAGTCGCTATACTGGGTAATGGTTTTTCTGGTGGCGCACAGAGGACTCAGGACGATGTTCACTGCCATAAGAACAAATTTAACAAGGCTTCTGAGACACAAAAAAGCAATTAAATCTGCAGTTTTGGGCCATTTGGCTGCAGTTTATTGCCATAAACAGGGTGAACCAATGTCCTGCAGAGTTCCTCTCTGTCTGGGTCAGAGTGCTGGAATAAGGATGGACCGAGGCTGATGCAGAAACCTACTTGGCACAGCATGGAGGTCGGAGAGGCAGCGAGTGGGGAAAATATGCAGCGAAAACTGGGCTGAACAACAAATCACAGAAGGGAAAACATGTCATTGAATTATGTGGTCACATTGTTTGTTTTGACCCAACAATCGTCTGGACTGTCAAACAAGTCTGACGTGCATCCAAGACTGACCAGACCACAGTAAGATTCTGTAATTTGAGGCCCGATCTGTGAAATATTGAATTTGCTGCTTGCTGTTTTCAGATGAAACAGAAGTGACAACATCGAACATATGGTGAACTTTAGTTGCTCTCTGCCTTTAAATAGCTAATAAGCATTCTTGAAAATGTGCCTCGCAGCTTCTTTAATCGCTCATTTAACAAAAAAAAGTGTCATTAAACTCCTCCCAAGATGATTGTCGCCTTGATTTCCTCAAAACTGGACTTTCTGGGTGGACCAGAGTAGTCCTCTGTAATTTCACCATTACCACTAAAGGAGTTAGTCTCATCCAGATGGTCAAAATGTGACATAAGGATTAAAAAATAATGAATAAATGACTCAGTGAGGCAAACTTGCTGTTAGAGGACAATGGAAATTCCCCCCTGCTCTCTCAGTGTGTCGGTTGAGCTGTCAGCTGTAATTGCTGTATTATTATAGTGAGATACAGTCATTTTTGGTGTAATTATACCCACACCCTTTTCCCTCCTGACAGCAGGGTATACATTCCAGGCATCCTCGCTTCGAGGGGAGAGCTGCAGCCTGACACGCTGTCGGATTTTTCTTCATCTGACACTTTAGAGGTTTGGTGAAGAGTCTATGTTCACCTGAGGGCTTTAAGGTGTTTACTTGAATCACAGATTAACTCTCAGATAGCTACAATTGTCTGAAACTATGAGGAAATGCAACAACAGAATGCAAAACAAGAAAAAAAGGGATTGTTCCTTTTGGAGTGAACGCTTGTGAGATGTTTTGGGTAATGAAGTTAGCATACTTATGCTCAGTTCCAGTTACCTCAGAAGGTAAAGATGTTACACCTGAGTTGATTGCGTTCCAGTTAACAAGTTGAAAAACCAAGATGGACGCCTACTGTTAGCCGTTGTTAGCTGTTGTTTACAATTGTCAGCTGTCGTTAGCTTTTCTGAGCCGTTGTGGGTAATGAAGCTAGCATACTTATGCTCAGTTCCAGTTAACTCAGAAGTCTGGGAATAACGTTACACCTGAGTTGATTGTGTTCCAGTAAACAAGTCGGAAAACCAAGATGGATGCCTACTTTTAGCCGTTAGTTAACAGTCGTTAGCTGTTGTGAGCCATTGTGGTTAATGAAGCTAGCATACTTATGCTCAGTTCCAGTTACCCCAGAAGTCAGATCTAAGACCTGAGTTGCTTGTGTTCCAGTAAACAAGTCAGAAAACCAAGATGGACGCCTACTTTCAGCTGTTAGTAAGCTGTTGTTAGCTGTTGTGAGCCATTGTGGTTAATGAAGCTAGCATACTTATGCTCAGTTCCAGTTACCTCGGAAGTCAGAGCTAAGAATGAGGTTACACCCGAGTTGATTGCATTCCAGTTAACAAGTCGGAAAACCAAGATGGACGCCTACTGTTAGCCGTTGTTAGCTGTTGTTTACAATTGTCAGCTGTCGTTAGCCGTTTCAGTTGTTGTGTGCGACTGTCAGCTGTTGTTAGCCAGTTGTCACCAGTTGTAACCAGTTGTAAACAACATATGATGCAGAATCTTACTCTTACAAACACCATAGCACCACTTACTTAATTTAACAAAAACAAAATAGAAGTGCTGATAAATAATACATTACGAGAACTTTCACTGCTACTCGACAAGTTGCGGTAGGTGAGGATCGTCCGACTTTTCGAGTTGGAAATCCGACTTCGGGGTGCGTTCCAGATGAATTTCTGATTTGGAGCTCAGAAATTTCGACTTCCGAGTACAACTGGAACTCAGACTTTCTTCTTGAACTGTACTAATGCTAAGTAACTAATCTAATTAGCCTTCAGGCTTTAAGGTTGCTGGTTGATGTATGAGCACTGGTGACAGTTTTCTTGCTCTACAAGATTTAGTATAATAAAAGGATGTTAATCTGTCTTTTTATCAAGAACGAACAGCCTGCCTTTCGTAAACCTGTCACACCTTAACAACGCTGTGAGTCATTCACTCAACAAATTTAAGTATGCCCATCACCTTTCAACAAGTTTGTTTTCAACGGTGTGGGTGGAGGAGAGGAATCTGACAACAGGGTTCTTATTAGGAGCAGAACCTCGTCCTAAAATGACATTTGGATCCTTTTGCAAACAAACAAAAGAGGTGTGATCAACAGCTGGAGTCCCGCTGTCAGGACGTGATTATAGTTTGTTAATGTTTGTTTGTTAAATCTGAGGAGAGACGAAAAGACGGGTGGTGTCATGAAGTAAGGCATGAGTTTATGGTTCTTCTGGCAGACTCTTTCCAGTCTGATGTGGGACGTTTTGAATCCCTCGCATACTTCACAGACGTTGTAGTGCAAAAGTTGTCAAGATGTGACAGTACAGAAGAAAAATAGCATTTGTGACCTATATTGTGTCAAAGCAGCAGAGGAAAGATGTTCTGTGGACAGGAGGGAGGGTCCAGTTTAAGTGTAACCAATGTGTCTCTGCTGGGACCTGGTTTATGTAAGCGTCTGTGCTGTTTCTGAGTCCTGACTCATGACAGGCCAAAGTGTTTCATTTCAGGAGGAGCTGTGAAATAAAATAACCCACAAGCTCTGCATTATACAACTCCTCGTTGCAGCAAGGACCCAGAGACACTGGAACAATTTAAATTTAATATTTTTGTACAATTGATTCTTCTTAAACTGATTCAGGATACAGAAGAGAGCGAATATGTATAGAATACGACTCCACCTCTTTTTACTGCTTAAGCGTAAATATAGAGAACTATATTTGGGTTACATTTGGATCAAATAGGACTTCTTATCACAGTCCAACAACTATTTTTGGACCATATTTGGACCCAATCAGACCTAACGAAGCCTGGATTTTAATTCCTAAATCTGGACTATACTAAGCAAACTAAACACTGCCCGGTTTTCCCGTCCCTATTGTGCCTCAGTTTGGACTATGTAGATCAACCAGATTCAGGCTAAAATCCAATGTCTAAATGAAAACATCAGATTCGATTTATGGATGAAACAGAGAACATCTTGGACGTTCAGCGACTCCTCTTGACTCTGTTAATCAGCATGTTCAGAACTAATGGTATGAAAAAAAAATTGTATGTGTATGCTATCACGTGTGTATTTTATCATTATATATGTATGTTAATCATCATTTACTGAAAATCACTTGGTGTAAAAGGAGAAGTATGGCCTTGGAGTTGGGACTGATACTTTTCTGCTGAAGTCATGCAACGAGACGCTATAATTTCACTCACAGGTTGTTTTCCCAGCAGTGTGACATTGAACTGATAACTGATGATGAACCAAGCTGTCTTTGTCTTCCCAGTACAGACCACAGCTGCAACCTGTACCCTATTTAGATACTGTTGTAATGTCATCCCACTTGTGAGATGACGTTAGTGGGCGGGGGTGTCTGTTTCTTGACTGCATAAAGGATGTGTAAAAATCTGAATTCCTCAGTCAGAGGAAGCTGCCTTTGTTGTAAGCTGCTGACTCCTTACAAGTAAAAGATATTGAAGAAAAAGAAGACCACGATCTCTGTCGTTCTTCTCAGCTGGCTGCAAGTCACATGCTGTATTATTTTTCTGACATGGTACAAGGTGTGAGAAAACTTTGATGTGTGTTTCGATTTTAAAGTTTGGCTCATGTGTCATGGCGCCGGGGTTAAACAAAAGAAAAAGACCCAAATGCAGAACAAAAAATGATTTAATTGAAAGAACTAAATGAAAAAAGCAACAAAAGAGAAAAATCCAAAAGGCATCAACAAACATAGAATGAACCAACAAGAACAGAGGGGAAGACAGGGACTATATACACACTGGGTAACGAGCAACAGGTGAGGCTAACGAGACACAGGTGAGGCTAACGAGACACAGGTGAGGCTAACGAGACAGGTGAAACTCATGAGTGATTAACGAAGGAGGGAAAACTAGGGAAGTAAAACCAGACTAGAAACGCAAGGAGTCGACTACTACAAAATAAAACAGGAAACACTGAAAACTAATTTAAAGAATAAAACACAGAGAGCAGGAGGGAAACAGGGTCAAACACGAACTGAAAACTCACAAGACTGGACTACAGGAACGATAGGGAATACACTATAATAATAAAACCAGGAGAAAACTAAATTAACAGAACATATCATGACATCATGTCCCATCTGTTAACATGGAGGAGGCGGGCTTAACAACTTAAACAGCAGCCAGCCAGCCAGTGGGAGGAGCTCTAAAGGTTTTGGGATAAGTCATGTTGAATCTTTTGATAACATCCCTGGATGATATAGTCTTGTGGTTTGTATAAGTAGAACATAAAACCACATATTTCTCAGTCAGGGTTAAAGAAAATTCAATAATTTATTCTTACACAAATAGCTGTAAAAAGTTCTGCCAACATCAGAGGAATTCATTTCAATAATCATATATCTTTGGTTTTGGGTGTTTGATGACTCCAACTGCAGCAAAGTAAGGCTGAAACATAAACGTAGCAGATTTACGGCTGCTGAAGGTTGTTTGATAGATTGAGTTTCTAAGTGTGTCGTTTTTGGTGGGCTTCGTCGTGTTTGGGGTTACTTTTGGAGCTCCCTGCACCGCTCACTCGGAAACCTCTGGTCCAGCCGTGATTAGATGCTGAGAAGCTCTTTAAAGCCCAAAATAACAACTCTGACCCTCTCATTTCATTCTGATTCCAGGTTTCCCACCATCAGAACGCCACTTGGTAAGCAATAATCTGCTGGAAACGGGAGGCCCAGATGTTTTATGAAAGGCTGTTGCAGTCAACTGAAAGAAAGGCAATGAGTGGAGCCACAAGATTAAAGAAGAAAGATGTTTTATTTTGATAAACTAGACAACCAAATTTGGTTGATTTTTTTGTTGTTGTTGCTGAATTGGCCAAATAATCTTTGCTGCAGTGTGTTGGACTGGATTGACTATTAATATCTGCAGACCAATAAAAGCGGGTCTGTATCTATAGACTGACAGATATGAAGTAATGAGTATCATAATGTTATATAACATCATGAGTTAATCTTATAGGAAATAATCTTCCTGGAGATTGGGTCTTTCTAGGACAGGAGTTGTATATTAAAGTATGCAATCTTGATAGTGGTTTGAAGCGGTATTAATCACACAGACACTTTAATAGCAGTCATTCATGTCCACGTTTAAATTATTGCTCTGGATTGCAGCTCATTGCAGCCATGCTAGATTTATAACCACCCGCCCCCCCCTCAGGATTTTTTATTAGCGTCCTCCTTGAGATGAATCGCCTGCAGACATAATAAGACTCTCCGTGTGAGCCTCTCACCGAAGTAAGGACACTTTTCAGTCTTGGGGAACTTCTTGGAATTTAAACTTAGGCGTGAATCGTCCAGACAAAAGATTTGAGCTCCCTCTGCTGTGACCGTAAATCTGTCAAAAACAAACAACAAGTGTCCTCATACGGCTCCTTTCCTTCAGTTCAGACCAGAACTGATAACCTCAAAACTAAAATAAAGCATCAAAAGATTGAACTTGGCCCCATAGGTCAGTGGGGCTTTGCTGGAAAACCCCTCAACGCTTAATCCGGCGATTTTGTGACACCATTCAAACTTGACGCCTCCATGAAATCCAGCTGCTCATGCTTTCTATGATTCCTTTCCTGACTGTAAGGGCCTCTTTCCTATCTAAGCTCTTAATAGCTGCTGAATAGCATTCCTCGACGTTAACACGTCATAAAACCAAAAATGGCTTTCCTCATGAATCCGTGGCTCCCTTGTTCCTCCAAATGTGAGTGTGAGAGCTGCAGCCTCAAATTAAAGCTTATAATTACAGTAATCATGTTGTGATTGATGCTTCACAGCATTGAAATAAAGATGACACATTCAGGGTCTTGATGTGTCACCCTTTGAACATAAATCATCAAGTATGAGTAGAAAAAGTGCATTAGTGTGAGTTATTTGTAGTGTAGAAGCTGAGAAATATCACTTTGTCATTGTGAGGCAAAGGCGCGGTTTTGTGGTAATGCAAAAGACAGAAAAGATGGAAAATAAAGAATTTTAATGATTAATATCATTTTCTGAGTACTAAATTTTTCTTGTCAGAATATAATAAGGCAAGTAGCAATTAAAAAATGTGGAGCAAAACAAATTATTTGTAATGCAGAAAGCTAAAAAACCTAACTTCGTCATTGTTTAAAGACCCACTCCGGTGGAAATCATGTATTTTCTTGTTGTCTACATGTTCATATGGCGTTATTCTGATGCTACAGGATATATCATGAGAAAAAGAAGTATGAAATTGCAATTCTGAGTATTTCTGCATTCAAATCTCTGTGAATTTCTGCCAGACTCATACAGCAGGGTTAGACACAGTGAGATTTCGTATGTAGCAAATCAAAGCTCCGAGCAGTAGAGAGGACGATCGCGGAACAAGAGTGTGTGTTAGCAGTTTGCAATGCTTGTAAGACAGCTAATTTTGATATTAACTTTCATCATGTCCCCAAAGACATTAGTGTCCGGGCCCCTATGTCACCTGCTACTTCTACTACACCGGCAATGTTTGGATGCAAGCTAGCGTGAACAGGACGGTGAAGAGCAACACTGTCTCCGCCCACGACTCAAAGGCAAATTGCTAACGAACTACTGAAGCTCTGCAGAAGAAAAGCCCTGGCTAAAAACTTCATAATCACAACTTTAAGACCACAGATAATACTTTAAGCAGTAAAAAAGTACTATAAAACAAGATATTTGAAACGTAAAAGCCAAAAAACACCACTTGAGGAAATTTCCTAGTGTGCTGGCCTTGGACAAAAAAAGAAAACAGGAGATTGGAAATAAAGCATTACAACAGCCAATACGATTATCTAAGTACTTGATTATTATAGTTTTAATTTTAAAGTCAAGTAAGAGTGAAAAAAAGTCAATCATAAGTTGCTTGTCATGCAGAAACGGAAACACATGACTGTCACTGTGAGGCAATGGTGAGGTTTGTGGTGTGCTGCCCTTTAACGCTTTGAGAAAGAAAAGATGGGAAATAAAGCATTTGAACACCAGACAACATATTCTGGGTCTTAGTTTGTCACTCTTTGAATTTAAATATTAGAGTAAGAGTAAAATAAGTGCATACATACATGGCAATTTTCTCACAGAATTCTGAGGAAAAAAAAAGTATGAATTCTGACTTTAATCTCAGAACAATAATTTAAAAAAATTATATCAGATTTTTTCTTTTCTAGCGGTCCTAATTCTTTTCTGTATAATTATGATGAAGAAGCTGACAACGTAACTTTCTAATTGTGTGGTAATAGTGGGATTTTGTGGTGCGCTACCCTTGAATGTAAAACGAAAACAGGAAATAAATCAACTAACAATGACATGTTTAATTCCTGATCCCTTACCTTTTCAACAAAAATGACCAAGTCAGAGTGGAAGAAAAAGCGCGTCAACACCTTGTTATTGTGTCACAGTAACAATGGCGTGATTTCGTGTTATGCTGCCCTGAGAGGCAAAAAGGGGGGAAACAAGAGCAAATGAGTGGATGTAAGGAGATCTCTCTGGAATGCCGTGTGAGGGAAAGCATGACCAAAAACCACAGAAGCAAACTCTGCCCTGCGTCTCGACTGGCCCTCCTCCAAAAACATGATCTGAGGAGACAGAGACGCAGACAGCGGAGGGAGATAGCGTAGTACGAACCCACGCAAAAATGCAGCTTAACCCTGCAAAACAAACACGGATCCCCCTTGAAGAAAGGAGGAGACGCCTCGGGTTATCAGGAGGGAGGATTTGTGGTGTAGTGTTATCTGATTCACGGTAAAAAATAAGACCGTGGAAAATTCAACACCAAGGATATACCTGTCGGGCAAAGTCTAATATACGGTCTGTGTGGAAAACATCAGTAACATGACACTATATTTTGACTGAATGATGAAGTTGAGAAAATTAAAGAGGCATAAAGCATCTTATCTAATACTGGGGAAGTACATCGCCAACAACTGAGGCTTTTTGGAAACTATGACAAGAAGAACAGATGGTCAAAGCTTTGTGTTGAAACTCTGATGTAGCCTGAGAGCGTCAATGCCCACAACTGCACCACTATGTCTCCCCAAAGGTCCGATACTGTCTGTATGATGTTGAGAACTATGTTTTTTGGGTCCATTTGTACTCTACTTTTCTATAACTATGTGTTTTCCCTCTAATGTCTTCGAGCGGCCTTCCTCTGGGAGGATGTTTAACAGGAAATGGAACTGGCCCGATTCCCTTGCGGCAGCCATTTCCTGTGCCAACCCATGCCACGCCGTGCCAGCTTACGGCTCGGCCCAGACCACCGTGAGAAAAACTGCCTTCGACATCCTCTGGGAAATGAGGACTGGGAAAAGCACATTTCTCTACAACTCTTTAGGATTGATGTAGATAGAGGCATTTTTAAGAGTGTAGAAATGTTGATATACTTTCTGGACGTTTATTGGGGTCAATGGGTGCAAAGGAGTTCAAGAGGGAAGTCTTACCCAGAGAATAAAGAGATGCTAAATAGAGGGAGGAAAGGGGGTGAATATTTGAGGTGGGAGGTCTGTGGTTTTTTGAGTTCTGTGACTTTAAATGAACGTTTGCTGAAAGACAAGAAAGAAAATATCAGAGGAGAAAGAGCCGTAGAAACACAACCAGTGAGGTAAACGCAAAGAGCCAATCCATTTGAGAGCTTTGCTGGATTTGTTGTGACAGCAGCAGAGCTGGTCAGAGCATCTCGAACCAGTTCTACTGTTCAGTTTAGCTAGCTGTAACAAACCTCAACCAAGGGAAGGTCCTTGTAAGCTCGTTTTGAAATCTATGTTTTCCTTTGCCATCAGGAAGCCACGAAGTTTGGCTCGCAATGTTGCGATCATGACATTACTGCTTCCTGGAGCACCTGAAGCTCTGGTAAACAAGCAGAAAGGTGAAAGTGTGGTGGTGATGAGGGGGGGAACAGATGTAGGATCACAGAGCCAGTTGGAGGGAAGCGCGGAGGTTTGGCGGTGAGGGTTTCCCTGATGAGGCGCAGCTGACGGCGCAAACCTACAGCGCTCTCATGACAGGCCTGACCACATCAACCAACATTATTATTCAGCCGTCCAGCGCCGGGGCCCACACACGCACTCCTGACCTGCTGTACTGCTCCGTGTTGCCAGCATGTGTGTGATCTTTGATTCAGAGGCACCAACATGCACAAAATGCTTATTCACGCTCCTGCAATCAGGTACACACACAAACCCATCATCACACATCTCTCAGGGCTCTTCCTGCACCGTCTGCTGCTGTGGTTTTTGGCGGTCTCTTTGGCTTGTTTTGGACTGAAATCACACCATCAGCTACCAAACGACTCAGGTGCAATTTTTGTGCATTTGTGTGCAGGTTTGTGTTGGTATATTGTTGCAGGCACGCCAGGTCTAACATAAGCTTGGCATCATGCTGCAGAGGAAACATGCTGCTATTATGCTGTTGGCCAGGTGTGCAGCCCGCCTGTCCACTCAGTCCAGATTGCCACCCTCAGTGTTTCAGATTCTGTCCAAATGAGCTGAAATTAGCAGGTTTTCCAGTTTTAAGGAAGAAAAATTATTCTCCCAGACTATTTCATTATCATTATTGTGGCTTTAATAGATGGAAAACATGATTCCGGCATAAATTTAAGTTATGGTCAAACACACTGTAACACTGAGTTAGACACCCCCTCAATAGATGAATGTTGCTGACTGCTTGCTTCGCTAGTTACAGAGACTTTTCACATACTGTGTGTCCACTTCTGACCAATCAGATTTCATGTTGTTGTGACGTCAGATTCACCATAGTACTAGCCACCAAAAAATTTTTTAGCTTTGCCTGATTTCTTAAGCAAAGAGACTAAACACAACTCACCTACTCTCCTCCAGCAGCCGCTTGTTTGTGGAGGAGCCCTGACAAGTTGATCACCGAGTGCAGAGGATCATTTCTGTGAAGTGATAATCATCATATTAATCATTTTGCACTGCAGACACGACAGTTCTTCTGCCTTAAGGTCCCTACACACAGGGAGCTTTTTTTGTGCCATTATTTCGGACGTCAATATTTTTTTTCAAACCCGTATCCTGTCAATACAAGCATTCACATCAGCGACGTTTTCCCATCCTGCGATATTGCGGCATTCATTTTTTCGTATCACGGTCGAATTTTCTAAAGTTTCACATACTGTGTGTCCACTTCTGACCAATCAGATTTCATGTTGTTGTGACGTCAGATTCACCGGTATATCCAACATGGCCGACCGGCTGATTGTTTACGTGTTGGAGAACAGAGTGCTTTTTGATAAAAGACACAAACATGACAAAGATAACGACCTGAAGGACAACTTGTGGAGAGTCATAGTGTCAGATTTCTCATCTGACGATGGTTTGTGTGCTTTAACAGTTTGCTAAACGTCTTTGTTTTAACTTTCATCTGTGCTAAGTAACTTTAGCTCGTGAGCTAACCTGTTCAGATACAACATACCATATGTATTTTCACTGTCTCAAACTCAATGGCGTTGCTGTCACAGCACCATTAGGTCTCGGTTGTTACCTTACGTTTATGGATTATAGTTTAATGTGCTTATCTGGTACTGGCCCTGACTCACCCAATGATCATAAATGTTCTTCCTAGAGCTGCGAAACTCCGCTGCACTCCGTGATCAACTCGTCAGGGCTTCCCCACAAACAAGCAGCTGCTGGAGGAGAGTGGGTGAGTTGTGTATGGTCTCTTTGCTAATGAGACATTGTTGCATCTCTCAAGGGGGTGTCTAACTTGATGTTACGTTGTTTCACCCTAACTTAATTTTACGCCAGAATATCCCTTTAAAAAAGGTCATCTATTTTCCTCCACTGCCACTGGTGCAGCATCACTCCGTGGGAAACACCGACGACTGCTCACCTCTGTCAGCTCATGTTATCCAAGTAGCTGCTGATGTTGCCCGAAGCCTTATACCTGCATCCTGTACGCCTATAAAAAGACTTTGATGTACAAAAATGGCGGCAGTGTCCTTTAATTATGTTAAAATTGCCAAGAGGAATCACAGGGAACTACCAAATCCTTTAAATGTGAACATTTCATCATTGTGGTGGTAAAGAGAGGTGCTAGTCTGGGATTTTGGGACCTATTTTTAGGAGCTAGTGTTGCTCTATTATGTTTGGATAAAATGCTCCCTCTGTGTTTTCTCTTTCCTGTATTATACAACCGTCTTGAACTTTTCCTGTGAGTCAATTAAGTGAAAACAATTTACATTTTTTTAACTACCCGTGATGTGTCCAGCTTTAATCCTACTCCTTGATAAGGGTGCATGCGTGAACT